CCCTAGGCAGGAGCTGGGCAAGAACAATTTCATAATGTGTACTTTAGGGCGGCACGGTGGCTCAGTGGTTAGCACTGCTGCCTCACAGCACCAGGGACCCGGGTTCGATTCCACCTTTGGGTGACTGTCTGCGTGGAGTTTGTACATTCTCCTTGTGTCTGTGTGGGTTTCTTCCGGGTGCTCTGGTTTCCTCCCGCCGTCCAAAGATGTGCAGGGTAGGTGGATTGGCCATGCTAAATTGCCCATAATGTTCAGGGATGTGTAGATTAGGGGGATCAGTCTGGGTGGGATGCTCTGAGGGTCAGTGTGGACTTGTTAGGCCGAAGGGCCTGTTTCCACACTGCAGGGATTCTATGAAAAAAAATACATACTGCAAGATCCACATTGCCTCCCCCGAGTCCTCAATTCTCTGTGGAATTCAACTTGTCCAAACATGTTTTTGCTCCTGTCTTTTCAAGTATCTTCAACACTTTGAAGTTGAGAGGAGTAGAAAGTTAATGTTATTATATTCATTTTATGATATGAACAGGTGTAGTGTGAGGCAATTTCAGGGATTAATGTTCAGTAGCCCAAAGAATGCCTGAGCAAAGATCAACTCAATATTGGGCCATGAGTTTATTCTGATATCTGCAGCGGCCACAGATGCATTTTTTTAACCTATTTTTCCTAATCAACCTGTTCAGAAATATTATTATACACTTCTGGAGCAGGTGTGACTTGAACCCAGGCATGTCAGTCTGGAGTAGGGACACTACCATTGCGCCACAAGAATGCCCTTAAAAATGGCAATTTCCATCCTTAGAGGACACTAATGAACCAGGTGGGTTTTTCCCCCCAACAATCGACAATTAGCCACAGATATTAGGTCATTCCTTAGCTGAAACACTTAATGAGGAGAAATTGGGCTGGTCTAAGCAGAGATGTCAGGCCTCCTCTGCTTGGGTTTGCATGAGTGCAGCCTAGCAAATAGCTGCACCAAACTAATGAGTCAATCGGAAGAAGCAGGAATCCTGCCCATGGTGAAATCATAGATGATAGGAGGCTGCTTTGCTGAGGCGCAATACTTAAATTTGAGCCTATTTTTGACCATCTGGTTGGAGTGGATACTCCATGTTCTTCTGATACTGAAAAACATGCCTTGACGAACATTCACACCAGAATCATCATCTCATCAATGCCATTTCTTCTCAACTATCTGTGAAGAGCTTTTTGGTCCTATTGAATTTGTATATACTTTTTACACAACGGGATAGGCGTAGAAAAATCTACTTATGTGTGAGCCCAAATCATGCGGCATTAATATAAGCAGAGGAAATTCAGAAGAAACTTCTATATGCAGGGTGTGCTTAGGATAGAACTTGTCGTATTGGCTAATAATTGTTAACAGTTCTCTACCTTCATTTTCTATAGCCCTCCTTCACATCCACTTGCTCCCGAACCATTCTCTTGGCCACAGGTGAGGTCCCAGAGGACTGGAGAATAGCCAGTGTTGTCCCATTGTTTAAGAAGGGTAATAGGGATAATCTTGGAAAGTACAGGCATGTGAGTCTCACGTTGGTGGTAGGGAAATTATTGGAAAAGATTCTCAGGGACAAGATCTATATGCATTTAGAAGCAAATGGACCTACCAGCAATAGACAGCATGGTTTTGTGTGTGGGAGGTCATGCCTCACTAACATGATCAAGTTTTTTGAGGAGGTGACGAACATGATTAATGAAGGAAAAGCGGTCAATGTTGTTTACATAGACTTCAGTAAAGCCTTTGACAAGGCTCCTCATGGCAAGCTGGGACAAAAGGTGAAGTTACATGACATCAGGGGTGAGCTGACAATATGGATTCAGAACTGGATTAGTCATAGGAGACAGAGGGTAGCGATAGAAGGATGCTTTTTGGAATGGAGGGTTGTGACTAGTGGTGTTCCATAGGGATTAGTGCTGGGATCTCTGCTGTTCGTGATCTACGTAAACGATTTGGATGAAAACGTAGCTGACCTAAATAGTCAGTTTGTGGACGATACAAAGATTGGTGGAGTTGCAGATAGCGAGGATGATTGTCAGAGGATATAGCGGGATACAGATCAGTTGGAGGCATGGGCAGAAAAATGGCAGATAAGGTTTAATCCGGGCAAATGTGAGGTGACGCATTTTGGAAGGTCAGGTACAGGTGGAAATTATACAGTGAATGGCAGAACCCTTTGGAGTATTGATGTGTGGAGGTCCACAGATCACTGAAAGTGGCATCGCAGGTAGATAAGGTAGTGAAAAAGGCTTAAAGCATGCTTGCTTTCACTGAAAGGGGCATTGAGTATTAGGATAGACAAGTTATGCTGCAGCTTTATAGAACTTTAGTTAGGCCACACTTGGAATATTGCATACAGTTCTGGTCAGTACAATACCAGAAGGATGTGGATGCGTTGGAGAGGGTATAGAAAAGGTTTACCAGGATGTTGCCTGGTATGGAGAATTTTAGCTATGAAGAAAGGTTGGATAGATTGGGTTTGTTTTCACTGGAACACGGGAGGTTGAGGGCTGACCTGATCGATGTTTATAAGATTGTGAATGGCATGGATAGCGTGGAAAGTATGAGGCTTTTTCCCAGGATGGAGGGGTCAATTACTAGGGGACACAGATTCAAGATGCGAGGGGGTAAGTTTTAAAGAGATGTGCGAGGCAAGTATTTCCCCTCAAAGGGTGGGGTGAGAGCCTGGAACACGTTGCCAGGGGAGGTGGTGGAGGCAGACGCAACAGCAGCATTCAACGAGCATCTGGACGAATAAATGAATAGAAAGGGAATAGAGGGATATGGATCCTGTAAATGAAGACAGTTTTAGTATGGAAGAGCAAAATGTGTCAATGCAGGCTTGGAGGGCTGAAGGGCCTGTTCCCGTGCTGTATTATTCTTTGTTCTTTTCTTTGTATTCCATGAGGATCTATCTTTGTCCTTTGCTCATTTCTCATCAGTATACTGTTCCTTTGTGTTTTCATGCAAGAGCACATTATCAGTTTCCACATGTGCAGTACAGACTCTCAGCGTGACTTCAATGCCAGCTCTCTTGACCACTCATCATAAGTTGCTGCTCTGTTAAATGAAGCCATTATCTTCAGTCACTGGTATGAACTTTGTTCTCTGCTTTGTACTCACTGTCCGAGGCTGCACCAGACTATTTGTCATGTTGGTGTTATATATGATTCCAAGCAGTATTACCAATTATATATCTGCAATCACTATAACTGCTGATTTCCAACTCTTAACAAAAAATTGCCCAACTCCACGATTGCCCCAGCTCATTCACTGATGAAACCCTCATGCACATTTGTTGTCTTATAGGCTTGACTACAACATTGCATTCCTGGCCAGCTTCCCATATTTTAACCTCTGTAAATTTAAGGTCACCCAAAACTCTGCTTCCCAAGTCCTTACTCACACCAACTTTCATTCACCTGTCACCCCTGTGCTCAATTGGCTGCTGATTGAACAACACTTAATTTTTAAAATTTTCAAACTTAAACCTGAACAGCTAAAGTGTGTGTTGAAGAATATGCCTCCATTCTGATAAACTGGGAATTATTTAATGTAGTGGTTGGGAGGATTGCTTTGGTAAGATGTTGTGAACTGTTGTTAAAATCCAGCCAAGTTTCAAGAATATTTATAATATCTCAATGTGATTTCAACTTAACAGAAAAGCAAATCCAGATCTTAGAAGCAATCTTAGAAACCATCTTTTTGTTGATGGTTATCGCTATTCAAGCTCTGGGTTTTAAGATAAATGTTACATTTTGTGTCTTCTCTAAAATGCAAGCACAGAAGAAAATAATTGAAGACAGAATTATGACACACGTGCAGTGTTTTCATGTTTTCAAAATAAATTGTAATTACTGTAGTCTGTGTTACAAAGGATTACTTAGTCTTCCCTGCACACCTTGTCTAATTATATTGGAATCTTGAGAACTTAAGATGGGTATTCGTCAAGTAAGCTACTTCGTTCAAAGAGTGTTAACAGTCTTCTATTGTGAATTCAACTCCACACATTCAATCTCTGAAATAACTCCTTAGTCTTAAAGCTATTCTATATGTCATTGGTGTCTTCATGTCATTTGCAGAAAACGTTCTCTCCACTCTCTGCAATATTTAATCATCTCAACAGCCTAAATCTCGGTATTCAGGGATTTGGGCCAAATGCAGTATGTGGAGTGAGTCCACAGATCAACCATGATCTCATTGAATGGTGGAACAGGTTTGAGGGGTTGAATGGCTTGCTGCTGATCCTATGTTTGGTGCTCATAATTTATTTGCTTCCACAGTGGGGAAATGAAACGCAGACTGGATGACTGCTTTGCGGAATACTTATGCTTTGTCTGTAAAAATGATCCCAAGCTTACAGTTACCTGCCACTTCAACATAGAACAGTGTTCCCATGCCAATATTTCTGCTTCAGTTTGCTGCAGTGCTCCAGTGAGGATCAACGCAAGCTGGAGGACAGCACCTCATCTTTTGCATAGGTACCTTCCAGCCTTCAGGTTTCAACATTTGAGTTTCAAAATTTCACTGTAATTTTTTCCATGTTTGTTAACTAACCCCACATGCCTAGGTCCTGTTTTGTATGGGTTGCTTCCAGCACAGCCAACATTTTCAACCATTTACACTTCCTGTTAACATCCCATCAAACATTAATTGCTCCCTCAGCTTATTATCAGTAATTTCTTTGTTTGCCTATCCCTTTATTTGCCCTCTCTGTATCTCACTCTCTCTCTCTGGGCACTGTCGCCATGTACACCATTCACCCCCTGTGCCACCAACCCCATCATCAGCATAAATGTCACTGTTTCCCAGCTATTTTCAGTTCTGGTGAGGGGTCACTGGACTCAAAACGTTAACTTTGTTTCTTTCTACAGATGCTGCCAGACCTGCTGAGTTTCTCCAGCCCTTTTTGTTTAGGTGAAGTAGTGTTGTGAATTCAGGTTTCTGGTAATAATTGATTAGTTTATGTTTATCTTTGTAGGTCTATGCCAAGAAAGAAGTGATCCTAAGTGGAGGCTCAATTAACTCACCCCAGCTTCTTATGTTATCTGGCATTGGCAATGCAGATGACCTTAAAGCATTGGGAATTCCTGTTGTTTGCCACCGTCCTGGTAATAATTTAAGCATTCAGAAAGAAACAAAGTATTAATTTAGCTAATTTGATCCAGTTTGTGCTCTGATATTGTTGTAGTTGGGTAATTAAAATGGTTTTAATTAAACTGCCTTATTCTTAGGTGTGGGCCAGAATCTGCAAGACCATCTAGAATTGTATGTACAACAACAATGCACTGAACCTATTACTCTGTACCAATCTCAAAAACCATTCAAGATGATCAGGATTGGCCTGGAATGGCTTTGGAAATTCACAGGTAGAATTTTGTTACCTTCTAATAATTTGGACCTTGAAATAAACATCAATACTTCAGGATCATAGGAGCATGAGTAGGTCAGTTAACCCAATGAGATTGTTTTATAATTCAGTGTCCCAACAGCAATCCCAGAATGGAGCAACCCATCAACAAAAATAATCAATGTTTCATCATTCAAAAACTTCAAGACCCAGCTTTAAATTTTCAGTTAAAATTTTTCATTATCGGAATTACCATACCAGCAAGTCATGCCTGGTTTTGTTAGTACTATCTGTTTAAATGTTGGCAGAATATGGATATTAGTTTGTGATGCTGACACAGTTAAAGCAGAAGCAGAATGAGATCGTGCCTTATTGGCAACCTAACTCCATATTACCTGCCATTGCCCCGTGTCCCTTAATACCTTTGGATAACACAAATAAATCAATTCCTTAAACTTAAATTTTATAGTTGGACTAGTGTCAGTTGTTGTTCATGAAAGAGTGTTACAAGCTTCTACCACCATTTGTGTTAAGAATTCTTCCTAATTTTGTTCGTAAATGGTGGCAGTGATTCTTACGCTATTTCCCCAAGTCTTAATCTCCCAAATTAGTGCAAATAGTTTCTCTCTGTCTAGCCTTTGTGTTCATATCCTGAAAACTTTGATTAAGAAACTACAGTTGTGCTGAGTTTACCTGCCACTATTCATCTCCTTTTGGAAAACTAGCAGGTCTTAGATAGATAGGGGATGGAGGTGCAAATTATGCATGACATGTCAGCAAGAGCACATTTAATGGGCTTTCACACCATATCTTATGTTGCAAGATCATTTTGTTCATTGTGTGTTGCATGTTTTCTATCTGTTAATTACCAATAATTTTGAAGCTGAGCCAAAAATTATTGGGCTTATTTTCACATCTGTGTTACTCTGAATTAATATTACAGATGATACAAAACCATTTATTGCCTGTTGAGAGTATGAGCGATGCACTGGTTTTCATTCAGTGGTGGCAAAGAGTTACTGTTTGACTTGGGGAGTCTGGTGAGGTCGTTGACAAGGAAAGTTAGTTGCGGTCAGCATTTACTTATCTGTTTTTCTTGGTAAAGTGATAGAATTGATGAAGTCATTTGAAGCACCACAAAACCTGGTGTGCCAGAAGATTTTTGTTCTCAGACATGTAACTGAAATCAGTGTTACTGTCTTGATTTTACCAAAAAATTTCCGCAATAGATGAAGTTAACATTCAGATCAGAAACTGACTCCGCTGTGATATCAGCAATCCATTCTCCTACTCATCCTGTTATATGTGCTCTCTGTGCTATTGTTCACTACAAGGTAGAATGGAAGGTAAGGATCTATGTTGGACTATTGTCTAGTGTGATATAGGAAAGCCACTTGATAGTCCTAACAGTAAGGGATTTTTGTCCTAAACAAAATGTAGTTTAGTACATGTTAGCAAGTATGACCAAATTACACTAATGTGATAGTCATTGTTACAGAGACTGTGAGGAAGATCCAGGTCATACTCCTTCCCTTGATTTCCTACTACTGTAGTGGTGCCTCATGATGCTTACTTGTTATTGTAACAACACTTTAAGTCCTTCACTTAATATCATTTTCCCAGCCTGAAAATCTGTGCCAGTTTTAAAGTTTTCCTTTGCCCTCTCGGGATTTAATTTTGCTGTCACAGTTTCCAATGCCTGTTCACTCTCTGACTGAACACCAACTTGAGACTGCTCCTACGAGAGTTCCAAATTTTGTCCTGCTGCTGCATCTTTCTTGCCAGATCTGAAATGCTTACTCTATTGACTGTGGATTCTGTCTTGTTGAATCTTCCCACAGTTTTCTTCTGTCAGGTTCTTGTAATGTCTCTTGCGTCTGCTGTCTGCACAAGCAGCCTATTTAAAGTTATGTCTGATGAATCTATGACCTCTATTACTGCCAGTGTTGTCAGAGGCAGCTGAATGGAATCCACATTGCTGTCACCATGCCATATGAGCCAACAGTACCAATGTTCGCTGTGTTGTGAGTGTTTTCTGTAATATTATTTTCTGCCACCATCCACTTTCAGGGTAAGGATTGATCTTGGTCTGCCTGGTGCTGCATGGTATACAAAAACCACCTGTTAGTCTAATGAGAAGAGGCTCTTGTCTTAAATATGATGTAGTTCATTGCATGACAGCAACTATGAACAAGTTACATTGATAGACATTGTTTCAGAGATGATGAAAAGATTCAAATGGTAAGGTCTTGATCCTTTCAATCTCAAGTTGTTTTCTCCATAAGCCCATATGATATCATCATGCACTTAGATGTTTAAGGCACTCCTGAGCATTAGCTCTTTCAGATCCCTATGCTCTTAGACAACAGCTCCCAATTTCCTATTACTTGTTTTTCACTTGGTAATGTAGTTTAAGATTATCTCCAGATTTTCTTTTGAATGCTGACTTGCATATTTTTCTGTTGCTCAAAAAGACATTTTTTGTTTAATCTAGATAGATCAGCCTTGTATTCCCTTTTACCTCAACTTTTAGATGAAGCTGAGTAATATGATTAGGAGTGTTTCATTGTGGACTGCTATATCAAATTGCCAATTGTTAAAATCTTGATGCTTGTTCTAATTTAGGAAGATTATGGAAGAGTCTTTTCCCTCAGTGATCTATTGATAGTTCTTGTGAACAGATCTTGGTACAGACTTTTATTTTGGGTATCTGATAAGTCTGGTATTGGTGATGTGATTGTAGTGACCATCTGAGGTGAAGAGAAGACAACAGTAGATACCTTTTGACAGAGTTATATTGTTGGCTAGTTGCTGAGTGGCTACACTGATGAATTTATACCAGACTTTAGAATTCATTGTTCCTGATTTACAATTAATAATTAACTTAAGAACTCAGTTCAAAGAAGTTAAATTTGAAGATGATATCAAACTAGGATGGCAATTAATTCTGATGAATGTGCTGAGGAACTACAAAGGGAATTAGAAAGTTATGTAAATAAATGATACAATAACATTGAAATTTAATGCATACAAACCTAAGTAATTGATAATCCTGACAAACAGCAATCTGGACTTCTATAGCATCTTTATTGTAGTAAGACTGTAGAGCTTAGTAAGAAGTGTTCTTTCAGGCATACGACGCACTAAACTGCAAAGTTAGTAAAGATTCAGAAAATTAATCCAAACTAAGCCAGAAGAGTTGTGCAAGGATTATGGGATAGAAAATCATTTGCACTACTAAACAAGAGCAAATTGGATGGGCAGAATGATCATTGGAGCAGTTAGACCTGAATTCCACTTGACTCAGACCTCATTTTAAAGTCTGCCAAGTTAGATACCTGTTGTGTATTTCTCAAAAATAAGCAAAAGAATTTCAGGCTGTTAAGTATGTAAAAGTCTTCAGGTGTGTCCTGACAGAAGGGGGCAAGATCAGGAGGAGGCTAAGCTATGAATGCTCTTCCTGACTTCGCATTATGTTAAATTTTAAAATGATTTATATTTGAAATTTACGTGGTTCTGTGGCATCTTGCCAAAAGTCCCTTTAAAGATGCAACGGGGCAGGCATTAAGGCATGTTACAGATGTATTGAACACAGCAGGCCAAGCAGCATCATAGGAGCAGAAAGGCTGACGTTTCGGGCCTAGACCCTTC